GTGTAAGTGTTTATTTTGTGTGTACTATTTTTCATTTGAACCATTGCATTTATTTTCTGTTTTCAAAACATGTTGGTTCGTGATTCTTTGATTTATCATTCTTTGTTCTTTGGGGGTTATTTGACTTTGTTTCAGGACAAACAAGGATTCAAGTTGGGGAGAGTTTGATAAGTGCAAAAGTGTAGTTATTTTGTATATATATTTTGTTGCACTTATCGATTCTTTGTTGTTAGTATCAGTTGAATAACCCCATATTTTGTTGTAAATATGTTTAGTTTCATTTTGAGTACATATTGTATCCATTGATTAGTTTTGTATATGTTTTATAGGTATTTGAGCATTGTTGGAGCAAGAGGAATAAAGCTCCAAGAAGCATTTTTAGATTAATAAAGGAAGAAGGCCAAGATTGGAGGCCAGATGAAGTTATGCAGTAGAAGCAACAAAAGTTGTTGAATTGTCATGTTTCGACGGGCGAAATGTCTGTCGCCGGGCGATAATGGGAAACTTTAGAAGACTAATTTTGATGTTTCCTCTGCCTTGTTTCACCGGGAAACGTGATTCTGTCGCCGGGCAATGTTAAATATTTTTCATCAGATGAAGACGTGGCTTATCCTGAGCCAAGTGTATAGAAGCCTTCATCGGGCGACGTGAGTTGTATCGCCAAACGATTTTCGCAGAACAAAATTTCCTTATATTTTCCTTTTCTTTTTCATTTGGAAGTTTATGGTTTTGGGGGTGAGTTTTTGTTCTCCCAACTCCATCAACCTCATTTTTGTAGTGGATTAGCTTAGATAACAACACTAGGGCTTTTCTTATGGATGATTAGAGGTAGATTTCTCATTGAACGGCTCTCACAAACTGGAAAGTTTGTGGTTTATCTCTTATCTTCTCTATGTATTTCTCTTGTGTTGGGTTTGTATATATATTTTTACTTTGAACTCACGTATATTTGTCGCCCATGGCGTTATATAAAACTTGATTTATTAATCTCTATCGATTATTGTAATGGATTTTTACTATGTGTTAGAGATTTGAGTTGTTATAGACATATACTGCTGAGATTTTTATCTAGAATGATTATTCGTTAGTTTCTGAACTCTAGAGATAGATTTAGAGCTAACATTCACTTTGGGTATTAGAGCTTAATGCCTATGTGTTGGTTGTGCTGTGCTGAGAGATCGTCAGTGCGATTAACATAGTCATCTTCTGTGTTGTTGAAGTGGTAGAGAGATCACTTCCTTGGCGATACAGTCGGTCTCTCGATTTGGGTTAGAAATGACTTAGGTTGTAAGTGATAAGTGGTGACATTGATGAGTATTGTTAGGTTGAGTATAACTGGTCGATAAATTTAAGTCAGTGATTAGTAGATTATATACATGCTTGATAAAGTTCTTCCTTAGCTTTTACTTTTGTTTACATTTATTTTCTGTTGATACTTTTCTATACTACCAACCCATTTAAACCCCAAACTCATTAACAAATGATTTGTCAAACGAAGATTAAATAACCAATCTCTGTGGATACGATCAATTTCCTGGAAGAATATTTCCAAACGTTTGCTTGCCGCTTTAAGGCTTCAACAATGTTCCCTAGTGCTGGGTTAAAGAAGGTGTTTTGGGCTGAGGCTGTTACGACAATAACATATATGATAAACAAATGTCCTTCGACTGTGTTAGATATGAAGACACCTGAAGAAGTTTGGTCGGGAAATCCATCATATCTCGACAAACTAAGAGTATTTGGTTGTGTAGCCTATGCTCACATTAGGCAAGACAAGGTCGAGCCTAGAGCTCTAAAATGCATGTTCATGGGATACCCTGAAGGAGTCAAAGCTTATAGGCTATGGTGCCTAGAGCCAGGTCACAAGAGGTGTATCACTAGTTGAGATGTAGTTTTCAATGAAGCTGAAATAGCTTTCAAGAAAACTGATGATGTTGGCCGAAGTGTAGAAATATCTTACGAATAGGTGGAACAGAGAGAAATTCCTGTTGAGGTGGAGCATGTTGATGCTAAATTGCGTATCCCAAATGAAGTAGAAGAAGAAGCAAAAGATGCTGAGGAAGTTGAGGAAACTGTCGATGACTACCTATTGGCAAGAGATAGGTTGAGAAGAATCATCAAGACACCTCAAATACTTGGGTATGCATATCTTATAGCTTATGCCTTAATCTCTGCAAGTGAGGTTCTAGACAAAGAATCTTCAGACCATAAGGAAGTTATGAGGAGTCGAAATAAGACTGAATGGTTGAAGGCTATGGATGATGAGATGAAATCTCTTCACGATAATAATACTTGGGAACTGATAAAGAAACCTGTTGGAGCCATGTTAGTCAGCTGTAAGTGAATTTTCAAAGTTAGGGAAGGAATTGAAGGAGTGGTGTCGAAAAGATACAAGGAAAGGTTAGTCGCAAGAGGTTTCACTCAGAAACAAGGTGTTGACTTCAATGATGTGTTCTCTCCTGTTGTTAAGCGCATGTCCATTCAAATGTTTCTTGCCATGGTGGAACAGTTTGACCTTGAACTAGAACAAATGGATGTGAAGAATGAGTTCTTGTATGGTGATCTAGATGAAACAGTCCTGATGAGGCGGCCTTAAGGGTATGTCGAAAAGGGGAAGGAAGATTATGTGTGCAAGCTGAAGAGATTCTTATATGGACTGAAACAATCACCTCGACAGTGGAATAAGAGATTTGACAAGTTCATGACACGCATAAGTTTCATTAGAAGTTAGTTCGACCACTGTGTTTACTTCAGATTTCGACCTGGTAATTCATTTGTTTTTTGTTGCTTTATGTTTATGATATTATCATAGCAAGAAACAATATCGAAGATGTAATGAGGGTGGAGGATGAACTCAATAAGGAATTCGATATAAAGGATCTAGGAGCTGCATCCATGATTCTTGGGATTGACATCCGAAGAGATAAAAAGCAGTCAAAATTATGCTTATCTCAAGAGGCATACCTACGGAAGATTCTCGACAAGTTTGGTATGTTGAATTCAAAGTCTGTTGTGACTCCAACAAACCCTCAATTCAAGTTGAGTATAAATCAGTGTCTCAGTACTGATATCGAAAGAACTTATATGAATAACACCTCATATGCTAATATAGTAGGTTCTTTGATGTATTTTATGGTATGTACTAGACCCGATATAACATATGCAGCAAGTCTTGTAAGCAGGTACATGGCGAATCTTGGAAAGACTCACCAGTAAGATTGAAGTGGATTCTAAGGTACATAAATGGGTCTCTGAATAAAGTCCTAATTTATGGTGGAGCCTTGAGTGAAGATAGTAAAGCAGTAATTGAAGGATATGTCGACTCTGATTATGGAGGTTGTATGGATTCTAGTAAATATATTTTTGGATATGTTTTCACTATGTTTAGAACAACAATTAGTTGGAAACAAATACTTCAGAAGGTTGTTTCCTTATCAACCACTAAAGGAGAATATACTGTCCTCACTGAAGCTGTGAAAGAAGCATTGTGGCTTGAAGATTTTGCTAAGGATCTGAAAATTCAAGGTCAAGTTATCAATGTTAAATGTGATAGTCAAAGTGCAATACACCTGTCGAAGAATTCAGCCTATCATAAGCGAACCAAGCACATCGATGTGAGGATGTATTTTATCAGAGGGGTAATTGAGCGTGGATAAGTCCAAGTGCTGAAGGTTTTGACATATCACAATGCTGCTGATATGATCACCAAGACATTGCTAAGTTGCAAGTTTTTCCACTTTATGCAGTTGATAAAGCTGCATGAAGAAAACTAGTTTGTTCTCTGATATTATAGTTTATTCTCTGATATTAGAGTTTGTTCCAAGGGGGAGATTTGTGAGAATTGGATCAAACTCTAGATGGTCGAAGGGTAGCTTCTTTGTTCGGCAGTTCGATAGGAGTTTAGCATGTCGTCGAAGTATATTCACATGTTGGTGGCGAAAACCTACATACTGTAGTCGAAGTGTGTTCTATTATATATGCTAGAGTTGTTAGTATTTCAAATTGGACCTGTTTGTTATGTTCAATTGTTTAAGTTAGCTTGTATCCTAACTTAGCTTGTAATGGGTATTTGTGAAAAAGTCCATTAATTTAGTAGGTTAGGTTTATTATAAATAGCATAGTAGTCTCTAATCATTGCATACAATAAATCTTAATTTAGGGTGAGAGATGTTATTTGTTATTTTGTAACACTTGTAATCTTGGTTAAAAAGAAAGTAAACAATAGTAATTAATAACCAATTCCTTGTGTTCTTCTTGTTTTTCCATCTTTTCTATCTTTAATTGTTTTTTTATCATAAAAAAATAATTTATATTTTGTTTCCAAAACATCATTTTTCATAACATTGAAATTTGGGAGACCTTTAGATTTATCTAAGGGAATTTAGAAATAATTCTAAATACTGAGTTTCCGTGGTTCATCTAGAGAATTTGAGCGATTGAAAAACACTAGTTTGTTTTTGGAAACTTGATAGACTATTTTCTTATATATTTTATGCAATTTCACAAATTAGATAATAATTTTATGTGTATTTGTCTTTAATCTTCCTCTTCTTTATTATGGATTTGTAGAAACTGTTTTGCAAGTTAATTACTCTTTGAGGCCATTTATTTTGTTTGTTTCTTTTCGCACACAGCATTATTTTTAGCATGATTAATATTATTGTTAGATTTTCGCAACCAAAAGGTTCTCGTGGTAGAACTTATCAATTTCCAGCATTATATATACAATGTGTATGTTTATATTGTTACAGACTCGTTGTATGGAATAGTTTTTTTCACCATTCTCATTTGTTTCATTCATTACTATCACAAAAAGGTAATACTATTTTTATGATGAATTAAAACAGAAATTCCAAAAGATAATACTACATAAAGAGGTGCTTAATGTTGAAAATGATGGCCTTACTCAAGAAAATATATATTTACAACAAATTTAGTATTTCTGAACAAATATCTTACAAACTGCAACAAACGAATTTATAGACGTCAAGTATACATTTTCATGTTGAGGCTTTGCTGGACCTTCCTTCTTGAACTTGCATGGAGTACTGCAGATTCCAGAGAATATCTTCTATAGACGGCCGGTCACCAGAAACCTTGCTGAGACAGTTGATGGTGATCAGAACTGCAGTCTTCAATGATTCATGTGCATAAGTTCCATGGAGCAAAGGATCGATAGCACTCCTCAACGCGTTCGGTGATGCAACTTCACATAAACCTCTCTCAAGCTAAACATGATAAAAATCAAACATGTATCACCATGATATTAGATATTATATGAATGTTTATGTATATACCTCATACTTCAGCACCTCAACTTCCATAGATGATGTAACTAGTTTTCCAGTGATAAGTTCAAGTAGAATCAAACCAAATTGATATATGTCTTCTTTTTCTGCACTATTTATACTGCTAATATGATTAGGCCCATTCTTTTGTTTATGCTTTCTCTCAGAACCTTTCTGAAAATCAACAAAGATATCAATCATAGGTTAGAAAGTTAACATGAGGTATGAATGACTCAAAATACATATAGTTTATTCTTCTAAGTTCTTACCTTGGATGGAAATGGAATGCTATATCCACTAACTTTTGGATTAAGACTATTGTCCAACATAATATTCTCAATCTTAATGTTGTTTCCATATATGCCAGGAGTTACTCCAGTGTGTAAGAACTCGATTCCTCTTGCAATGCCGATGATAATCGTCATTCTTTGTTGCCACTTTAGCATCTCACTTTTTATCCTATCTGACACACGCAAAAAAATTTTACACTGTCAATCAATTAGAAAAACTTGCCATGTAAGTGGTTTTTATGGGAGTGTTTATTATACCTGTAAGATGAATCTTCAATGACATGTTTGAGATGTGTTCAAATACAATGAACATTGTGCTTTTCATTTTGGGATGATCCTCATTGTTAATAGCACAGTGACCTATAACACTCACCAAATGCCTATGCCTTAAGTAAGGTAGCACCTTCAAATTCTGATCAATGATTTTGCTCAAACTTATCTGATTAACCATGACCATTGAACCATCTTTGAGTCTACCTTTATATTGCTTTCCTTGTGATCCTTCTCCTAATATATTCGACGAGTCGAAGTTATCGGTTGCATCTTCAATTTCTTTTATTCTGAAAATTCTATAAGGTGGTAATCCATTTGAAGCTATCCTCACCAGCTGAGGAACATTTCTTTTACTTGCATAAATATTTGGTCTTGAGAATGCAGTGACAGAAACTTTTTCTGCATTGAACTTTCTCAAAATGAACAGAAAGACTAGAATCAAAAGCACTGCAGCTCCTACGAAACCTCCGATAACACCGATTAGTACTCCTCCTAGTGGCTTCTTTGATTCATTCGGCCTCTCGAATCTCGGCTTAACATTCAACACTGTCGATTTCTTGCAATACGATGATGGATGTTGATCACTGAGATTTCTTGTTGACAGACAGTTGCCAGAATAAAATATTGTTCGGTTTAACGAATTCGAATCAATGCACCATGGCAGTTTTCCTTGTAGAAAATTGTGTGAGATATCAAGAAATTTCAAAGAAGGACTACAAGATATATTCCCGAAAATTGAACCAGTTAACTGATTTGAAGCCAAGTTTAGGCTGTATATTAAAGGAAGAGAGAACAAAAATGCAGGAAACTCGGGGCCGAATCGGTTGTTACTAAGATTAATCTCTTCAAGAGAGGTTAATCTTGTGAGATTAGGTACATTTCCATTGAAAAAATTATCAGCCAAAACAAGGCTCTTGAGATTCTTCAAAGATGAAACTGATAATGGAATTTCTCCATATATGAAATTTGATGTAATGTTGAAAACTTCAAGAGACTTAAACCTAGTGATTTTAAAAGGCAATGGACCCCATAAACCAAGTGAAACCAATGACAGAACCTTCATGTTTGAAAGCTTTGTTAAAACAGTGAAAAAAGAATCAGTGGAGAATCTTGCTGAAACTGGCTTTGTTTTGTTTCCAATGATTGTTAATTCGGTTACATGATTCCTTGAGCAGATGATGGTGAAGGAAGGTGATGGAGAGAGGTTGCAGAAGTTGGTGAAATTCTTCCATTTGTGAAGAAGTTGAGGGTATTCAAGAAGTGTTTGAATTTGAAGAAGGACTTTGGTTTCTGTTGGTGTTAATTGTGCACTTGGAATTGGAGTAAGGAGGATGAGAATAATTGTAAAGATTATAGGGAACAAGAAGTATAAAGAAAACAAGAAATTCTTCATATTGTAGGACAGATTAAGAGTGGTGAGTGTGTCTCAGAAAGGAGAAAGGATGATATATACCAACAGTTGGACTATTCAAGAAATGACTTTTTACTTGAAGACCTTTTCGGGTGTTACTTGTCATGAGTTTTTGATTTTTGACTTTGAAAATCCTTTTTAAAATTTAAATTTGTTCAATAATAATGGAGTTGATTTATAGTGAAAAAAAGTTTTTAAATTATTGTTTTTGTTTTAAAAGCAAGACACTAATAATTATCGATACATTCACAACTACTCTAATAATTATTAGGATCAGCATTGATCACACTCTAACTATCACTCCACCACAATTAACCACCATTAGTCACAACTACATCCATCTTTTATCACCTTTAACCACCACAATTTCCTTCTTCATATTAGACTATCAAAATAATTTATTTAAGTTTTGATATATTTTCGTTGCACCGACATGAATGAAGGTGGAGAAAAACACGAAAAATGAGACATTTGAATTGGGTTTTAAAAAACTTTTTTGTTTAGAAGCAGTTTTCACAAATGATCAGAATTAGAAACTCTGAGTGCATCTACACTATTAGATGTTTTGCATGATGTTAAAATTCGAAAAATTAGCATTTCAGTATAGTGGACGGTATCCTTATGTCTTGTGGCACTCCCTTGCATTAGAGGTCTTATGAATCATTTAAAACAACTTTAAAATTGGTCCCAATCATGAAAAATCAGTTTTTGCACAAAATCAGCACTTATGTGTCGACCTGAAATTTGTATGAGGACACATAAATTCTGCATTTTCATAAAAGCTTCTGTATGTGTCAACACATAACTTTTTCAGGTCGACACATGTACTGCAATATTAAAGCTTTTAGTATTTCTACTTAAAAACACAGACACGTGTGTCGACACATATGATTATCAAGTCGACACATGTACTGCATTTTAAAGCTTGTAGCTACTGTTTTGCATGTGTCGACACATAACTTTTTCAGATCGACACATACTGTTATGTGAGTCACTTTTCTATTATTTTTTCATTCTAAAATTATCCTCTTTTACCTAAAAAGAATATGTTGTACCCCAAAATTTGCTCTCTCATTTCTCAAGGCATTTTCTCACAAGAATTTTCAAAAGCTCAAAATTTGCACAAATACAAAGAAAACAAAAAGGGAAAAACAGATAAAAAATGATTTTTGACAAAATTGAAGAAAAGTAAGCTTGCTTCGACTCATCCATCCTTCAACTGAATATTCTGGCTTCTTCGACACAACCTTGATTCACACGCTTCGACTGAATATGAAGCCTCCTGCATGCAAGCTTTAAACTCAGGGAGCAATGACCTCCTGCAGGTTTGCTTTGATTCACTGAAATGGCTCTTGCATGCAAGCTTCGATTCAGAGAGCAATGGCCTCTTGAATGTTTGCCTCACAAAGCATTTTCCTTCTGCATGCTAGCTTCGACTAGGCATTATGACCTTCATATTAGCTTCCTTCTGAAGAAACTTCCTTCGATTCAAAAAGAGATGACCTTCTGAAATCTTTCTTCGATTCAGAGGGCAATGGACTTCTTAAGGTTTTCCATTGACACAAAACATAGACCTCCCGCATGTTGGTTTCGATTGCACCATTAGCTCCTGGTGATACGGTGGCAGAACCGACTGTTTGAAATGCTGGTTTACGTTTTGCGTTTTTTGTTCGCAAAATGTCGCGGTAAGCAAGAGTCGCCACCGACTTTTATTTCATCCAACCGGAAAGGAAAAAAGTAAAAAAAAAACCCTTTTTCAAGATATTCTGAGTACGGGGGGTAGATTATAGAAAGGGAAGGTGTTAGCACCCTTTCTATCTATGGTTTTCCATGGGCTCTTAGGTACTTGCTCATCTTTTTAAATTGCTTGTGTATGTGCTTTGTTTTGAAACAGTTTGACTTCGTGATAACCCTTGTATCAGTCCTCAAAGGTGTGACGAAGTTGTTTTTGAAAATTTGTTTGAAAAGTGTAAGTGTGAAAAGTTTTTGATTTGAGCAAATACCTACTAGCATTTACCTACTCGGAAAAAAAGATTATTTCTATTCTTGTTCCTTTAGAAAATGCTATCCTACTATTGATAAATAGGTAGCACTGTCGTTGGAGTTTGTAAGGGTCAATTCGAAAGGGACGTATGATCACTAAAACAATGTTAGGATACCTTAATAATAACCCTAGAGTCTTAAGATCATATTCGAGGCAACATTTATGAGGCAACATTTCCGAGGCAACATTCGAATGGGGTGTTTGATCTTTTTCAGACAGGAGGGCAACCATTAAGATACCTTATACCTAATGATCGTTTTACCGAAGGCAACCGAAGTGAAAGTACACCTTAAGAGTGATATGTGCGAGTGATCTGTTTTCAGTTATTTGTCTTTGCACATTAGGGTTTTCTAACCGTATTAATTTGTCATGCATTCTTGTCATACAATCCTATTAGCATACATCTAAACAGTTAAATATTTGCGGGAATTAAGAATGCGAGAAAGTAAAGTTGCGCTATTACAAGACTTCAGGAAGGGGGATTAATTACATAGCCAAAAACCTGGGGAAAAGCGATAAGTAAAAGGTCCTAGATTAAACTATTACAAACCATGAACAGTTACAGAAATATTGGCAAAAATAATTAACACGTGCGCGATGAATTAAATACGAAATAACTAGCATTTTGACCCTTGCCTAAACCTAATTGCGATTGATTAAAAAATGTTTTTGTTATTTAAGAAAGTAATGAAATAGTTAAATTAAGAAGAAAATCCTAAGTTCTAATTAATTTTAAATTTAAAAAAATAAATTAATTCAATCTAAAACCTATTTTTATATTTTTATTTTATTTGAGAAAGAAAGAAAAATTAAATCAAGAATTAACCTAATTTTCTAATTGAATTTTAATTATGAACGAAATTAAAGTTGTCCTAAATTAATTAAACTAATTAATTAGAAAAACATTTATTAAGAAAATAAGTCCTTTTTTTGATTTTTGATTGGTTAATTTTAGAAAATAATTTTGGTGTTGATAATAAAAACAGAATAATTAAAGAAAAGAAATTAAAGAAAAATAATGGAAATAACTGAGTGGGCCTGCTGTCAGCAGATCTGGTTCTGGATGATGGGTCCAGAAGATGGTGACCCTCAGAACATGGGGGGCGCTGAATTTGTTCCTGGCTTGTGGATCAAAAGATGCTTCTCCTCAGAAGATGAGGTGCACTGGATTTGATTATGGTTGATGGATCCAGAAGGTGATGCGCTGGATCTGGTCCTGGCTAGTGGATTAGAAGATGCTTCTCCTCAGAAGATGAGGTGCACTGGATTTGATTATGGTTGATGGATCCAGAAGGTGATGCGTTGGATCTGGTCCTGGCTAGTGGATCAGAAGATGTTGCTCCTCAGAAGATGAGGTGCACTGGATTTGATTATGGCTGATGGATCCAGAAGGTGATGCGCTGGATCTGGTCCTGGCTAGTGGATCAGAAGATGCTGCTCCTCAGAAGATGCATGTGCTGGATCTGGTGAAAACAAAGGAGAAAATACCAAAAGCTCATGCCTGGGATCGAACCCAGAACAATGAGCTTTTGACTTCCTTCTTCTGACCAACTGCGTTGGATGTTAACTTGTTAAACAATAAAAACAAATAGTATATCAGAAAAAACAAGTTTCTGGCCAAAATAATGCGCCAGAATTTGAATCAGCCAATCAGGTTGTGACATGTTGTTGTCTTCTTCCCGGGAACCATCGTTTTAGACTCTGAACCTTTACCTACAAACGCAGGTCTATTTCTGAAACCTGTGTCATTCAAGAATCAAGCATGTGCAATATAAATTCAATTGGGGACCATGGATCAGCTGGGTTTGAAATTCTGATTGTCATGGTACCCATTATCCGGTCTAATTTCGTTTGAAAACTGAAACCCTAAATTGGAGCATGAAACCCTAATAATGGCAAAATCTTATTCCTGCATTGTAACTCAAATCAAACTATCAAGAAACATTGCAAACATGATGATGAATACAAATATGTAATTTAAACATGCCAAATATGCAAGAATTACAGTAATCAAATTTGGATATTTGTGCAAACCGTAAGAATGCTAGGCAGTGATTCTGGATGTTCTAATGCCTGCGAACGATTGGGAATGCTTCCTGAAACGTCAAGGAATTGATTTCTGGCCTTGAATTGCTCTCCAAGGTCCTCTATTCCAGAATTTGGATCTCCACCTTTTTCTTGAAATTTTTTAGTTTTGCTCTTGCTCTGCACGACTGTTCAACCCCTTTCTTCTGCTCTGCCAAGCTTTCTTATATAACCTATAGTGAATTAGGTTAACAAACTTGGATTAAATCTTTGCATTTATCCAAGATTTGATTTGATTTTCAATGTATATGATATCTTTCTATTTTCATGCCAATCATGCCTTTCTTATACCAATTGCCATTGATATGATTTGATTCTGATACGCCAGCACTATGAGCTCGTGATTCTGTCCACAAATCCAATCAAAACAAATCTTTGCTATTATTTACCAATTATTTGATTTAATTCAATTTTTAATAAATAAAAAATCAAAATAAAATAAATAATGAAGCAAAAAACATGTGAGTGCACATTTGGGTCGTGGACCAAGTTATAAGTGAAGTGCAAGCATAAAAAGTTAGGCCCATTTAGCAAAAAATGCAAATCTGAGCATATTTGACTTTTGGCAATTTTGCAAAAATGATCAACTTGGCCAATGCATAACTCTCTCAATTTTGACCCTAGAGAGGTGTTATTGAACTTTTTAGAAAGCTTAAGATGTCTCCTAAGCAACCATTTTGGTCTCATCTCAATTGATTCTTCCATGTTCATGTATGAAGCTTTGACCCAAAAGGTGTTTTTGTTGACTTTTCAAAATAACCTATAATGTAAAAAATCATATCTTTTTGTGAGTGCATATTTTGAACTTGGGATATGAGGAAGAATTGTAGGTAATTTCATACTATTAAAAATG